GATGACAAACACCGGGGGGGGCGGAGCACGCTGAATTCTCACTGGACCAGGCTCTTGGGGGGGGGGGGGGGGGGTACTCATGTACACGCGTGCCCCAGTCGTTAGACCATTGAATTCGCGCACCCCTACGATGTCGGGACGGAGCGACATGCCGGGTTTTCGCCGGCCCAGGCTATCGGCGTTTCACAAAAGAAGTTGGTCATTATCCTTGCGTTTGATGTCATTATCCTTGCGGTTGATGTGCCAAACCAGATCCGTGGGCGGGGATAAGCGCCAAGAGCATGAGCATCAAGCGGAGTAAGGGGACAAGATAGTGTTGTATGTCGATGGTAGCGAAAGCGGGTCAACTTTTTCTTACGTACGTCCCAGCGACACCAACCGCGGGCGAAAGAGAAAAACAAAACTGTTCATACGACTTGGACAGCTTTTGCCGTGACGCGCTACATATTCCGCGATGCCCCCCGACGGTCGACATGAGGACAACGGGAGACACACAACCTTCCAACACTACGCCACCCCACACCCCACGAAATCTACTTACCGAGTCTCCGCAAAAGCCGTACAGGTATGCCATCAACGTCCACGCCCTGCAGTCGGCCGTTGCACAACAACGCGGACGGACGGAATAGGGTTAAGGTTAGGGTTGTTTCAGGCGGACATCCAAAACACCAAGGGGGTGTTGCACCGGCTAACGTTAGCGCTCGGCTCGCACACACACACAAGCGTGCGCAGGCGAACTAGGTGAGAGTCAGTCGCAACCCATCACGCCCACCCCATGAAAAATGAATCATCTCGTCGTATGTCGTGGTTAGCTAGCTGGAGAGGGGGACGATACATCACCACCTTACCACCAGTCCGTCGAGCAGCACAGGTGCCCATGGCAAACAACACACGAGGCCAGCGGGCTCTTTCAACACTCTTTTGTCTTGGAGTACATTTAAGGGGGCAGTCGTGATCTCTGCCTTGTCATCACGAGGGAAACCAATGCCTTGTCTGCAATGCTTGCAAAAAAACAACTGTCTTGGTGTCACAAAAACATCGTACACATCGTTGTACACAGTACAAATGGCTTGATTGGTGCACGATATAGTCTTGCAGACATGAGAAATGCGAAACACTTAATTATTGGCGTGCAGTGAAATATATAAATTTGTTACAAGTCAGTTTTACCTCGCGGCATCGCTTAAAGTCCCCTCATCACTGCCCACTAGGGCAGCCTTCGCCAGCCGAATGTACGGAGCCACCTGTCAAATGAACACGTACAAGCAATAGTGATTTAGCCAGGGACGAAACCGCAATTTTCTAGGGACAATAGGATTGGCCAACCATTGTAAGGAACCATTACAAGTTTCAGTTTTCAAGCCATTCGCCCAAGAAGAAGGGTTTCGGGTCTCGTCGAAGGGGGGGGAGGGGGGGTGTACTCATAGTCGTGCATGTCGTAGTCGTTAGACCATTGACCTCGCATCCCTACAAAGCCGGGACGGAGCACGCCGGGTTCTCACCAGACCAGGCTCTCACATCACCAAGCGCGAAGCGCCGTGAGATATTCGGCGAGTCGCATGAAGGGTGCGCTGCATCCTGCTAAGGGTGTTCGGCATCTTGTGCTTACTTCCTTGCGTACGGATGACAGCTGCGTATGAATTAATTTATTTTCTGGTGCTTTCACTTCCAGAGACAGTTGTAAGCAATGTGTAACTGCCTCGAGGGTGCTTGACCATTTTAACACAACGTGGTGCGATCATCCCCCTTGCGCGGAGTGAGGCTTCTCCACCCCACACAACATGATCTATTCGACCACCATGATGGTTACCGCCAAAACAACAAGAGGTAACAAAAAAAACGGTAACCTGGTTGCCGAGTTCACGAAGTGAANTGTTCGGCACATTTTGCTTACTTCCTTGCGTACGGATGACAGCTGCGCATGACTTAATGTATTTCTGGTGCTTTCACCTCCAGAGACAGTAATAAGCACTGTGTAGCTGCCTCGAGGATGCGTGGCCATGTTAATACAACGTGGTGCGATCATCCCCCTTGCGCGGAGTGAGGCTTCTCCACCCCACACAACATGATCTATTCGACCACCATGATGGTTACCGCCAAAACAACAAGAGGTAACAAAAAAAACGGTAACCTGGTTGCCGAGTTCACGAAGTGAATTGGCTTTTGTGACAGCGTCGTTGCCAAGCGACGAAAACCCAACCCCGATGGCCAACACCGGCGGGGAGGAACCACCGGGGGGGGGCGGCTTGTTTTCCAACGTCGTTGCCAATCGACGAAAGCCCGACCCCGATGGCTCACATTGCCGGAGAGGGGGGGGCGGGAGTTTGAGCATTCTGCGTGACCCCCCGGTCCTATCACAACATGGCACAACGACAGGAGAACAGGTTGCGTTTCGAACCATCTCATGGCAACCCACCGATCGGACGGGTCGGCCCTGCGTCAAGGCACCGAGCGCCACAGCACACCAGAACATGGAGGTCGACGGGTCGCTCGGTGACAACTGCTGCTGCTGCTCCCACTGCTTCATCGACAACACCGGCGAGCGTGCCGTCGAAACGATCGACATGTCCCCCTGCCCCCCGCCATGGTAAGCCTCTTCTCCATCCATGGCCACCATCGCTGACGCCGGGGCGACCGGGTGTGGCCACGTGTGCCCCGTGCTGCTGCTGAAACCCTTGTTGCTGTTGTCGTTGGAGAAGACGATTCTCACCATGGCCTCCCGAACCGTGCTGGAAGGTTGGCATGGCATGACATTCGTGGGTTCCAAAATTCCAAGCAGGTAGAAGACAGCGTAGGGGTGGGGCACATGCCGTACTTTTTAGACCATTGACCACGCGTCCTCGAGATAAACGGAGCACTGTTCCCATACCACCAATTACCGATGGCCAATCGTTCCTTCCCACTCTGCCAAAGGTGGCTCAAATGCGTTTTCCGTATCCCGTCTATATATACCACTGCTCCCCTGTACTTGAGGAGGGGGGGGGGGGGGGGGGGGNCATGCCGTAGCCATTTAACCATTGACCTCGCATCCCTACAAAGCAGGGGGCAGGGGTGATAAACTGCTGACTGTTCCTTCTCAGCGTTTCGGGCGTGCAATCGTTGCTGCTGGGCACGGAACCGAGGCGGGGGTTTCCATGCATGCCAACGTCGCCCCCACGTGTCTCCAAACGGTGGGTTTCGGTACAAGGTGGCGTTTAACGGGGTCGGGGCCTTCAATCCTGCAAGGACAGGACGACGATACAACCTGCGATGGCGTTCTAGAAGCGTTTCCCTTGTGGAGCCGAACTGAGAATGGCGCAGGTTCGTCGGTCAGCCGGTTAGCGCTGTCAATGTTTACACACCTATGCATACACAACACAGGTCGTGATCTGGGACCCCTCAACGTGGTCCCAGATCACACAGCCTCAAGAATCGCTTTCCGCTTCCAGCTTCCTGCTTCCAGCCGCACCGAGACTGGAGTCTTTTCATTGGTCAGCCGGGTGTCGTGCCCATGTTGATCAACGAATCACAAGCGTGTCACAGAAACACACAGGTAGGTTCCAGTTCATGACAGTGCGTTGTGTGTGTCTTCATCCTTATTTATTATGGGGACCCACTCCCCCCCTTTTTCGTGGTGAGATGTGTACTACACTTTTTCAGCGGGTGTAGAGTACTACACTTTTCAGTGTTTTTTTCGTACAATTACATCCTTTCAGGGTCACACAGGAGGGGTAAAACACCAGGGCTTTTTTCTCCTTTTTCTTCATTTTCATTCCCCGCCTCAACTTCCTCCTGCGGTGTGTGCTGAACTGTATTTTTATCGCGAGAAGGGTCCCGCCGTCCCGTGCGTGCTGACACCAACTGTTATCGCGAGAAGAATCCAGCCGTCCCTTTCCCTCGTCAACGGTGCTTATGACGAAGTTTGGGACTCATGAGGGCTTCTCAGCTGTATTTCGCTTTCACCTGCAAAGTTTGCAATTTTTCACCCCATGGGGGTTAGGACTAACGACCTCTGCGACCAGCGGTTTACGGGGACACCACTAGACCACCGGGGTGACAGTACAAGTGTTTGTGTTTTCAACCGCACTTGAGACTGACGTCGTTTCATCCGCTCAGCCGGTTAGCTCGGTCGATACGAATGACAAAGACACACACCTTTGGCAGGTAAGTGGCAGGAACCCCATGCATCCGAAGAAGTCCCCAAGGAAAGCGTTTTCCTGCGTGCCCACCAGCCCCGTTGCAAGAGACATGCCGAGACGACCTCTGGAGACCCCGCCGCACACAGGGGGGCAGGAGACAAGCACATAAACGATTCCATGTGTTGATGTGCATGGGGGGAACGGAAGCAAGCAAGACGTGATTGGCAAGCAGCGGTGGAAATAATGCGGAGATAGACACGGGGTTATCGTGTACAAGAAGACGCGGACCTGTTTGATTGGGAGTTGGACATCTTACGGCGGCAAACACATGGGGGGGGGGGGGGGGGGGG